GGGGCTTTGCTCAGTGGTACATTCCCTGAGTTCAATCCCCAGTACTTAAAAGAAAAATGAAGAAAAAAACAAAACAAAAAAAATTCAAATATCCTCTGAGTCTCACATCCATGCACACATATATGTATATTCTATTCTTAATACATCAATATTTCCTCAGAACAGGGGTATTTTTTTACATCACCATAGTACAATGATTAAAATCAGGAAATATAACTGTAATACTGACCCAACTGTTAGCTAATCTATATGTCCCATATCCAATTTTTGCCAATAGTCAATAATGCATTTTTTTTTAGCTGCTTCTTCTCTGTCCAGGATTGCATTTGCATTTCCTGGTGGTGTCCCTTTATTCCCTTTTGATCTGGGGCAGTTCCATGGCTTTTCCTAGTCTTAAATGACCTTGATACTTTCGCAGAGCCCAAGTGGGTAATTTTGGAGAATGTCCCTACTTTTGAAATTTCCTCATGATTAGATTCAGAAAATAATTTAGTTTTAAAAGGAAAGGCGAGGCAGTGATGAAGCCTGGGAGTTTTAGAGATTGAGGAGGCTTCATGTGAGAGGTTTTGCAGGCCCCAGGGCAAGGATTAAATCTGCTTATCACTACTCATTCGCTTGTACATTCATTTCAGAAGTATTTACTTAGGGGAAGATGATGGGGGTGGATATGATCATAGTATGATGCTGCATGTATGAATATGTCACAATGAAACCCATCCTTCTGCATGATTAAAATACACTAAAAAGAAGTATTTATTGGATGTCTATTATGAATCATACATTGTTCTGGATTCCTGGAATATATCACTGAGCAATAATGAAATCCTTGTCCTTGTCAACTGTGGTGGGTTGATTACCAAAGTGCTTTTCCTTGGAACCTCAGCATGTACCTTGTTTGGAAACAGGGACTTTGTAGATATAAGAAAGGTGCAGATCTTCCTGGATGACCAGATGAGCTCAGAAGCCAGTGATAATTATCCCTAAGCAACTCAGTGAGACCCTATCTCTAAATAAAATAGAAAATGGGGTTGGGGATGTGGTTCAGTGGTCAAGAACCTCTGAGTTCAATCCCTGGTACCAAAAAAATAAAAATAAAAATAAATAAATAAATAAAGAGAGAGAGAGAGAGAGAGAGAGAGAGAGAATAGGAGACACAGACAAACATACAGATTGAAGGTCATGTGGAGATGGGGCAGAGGTAAGAATTATGCTGCCGCAAGCAAGTGAAGAAATTAGGATGTGCCATCTCCAGATGTGCTGGATTGGCATATGGATTATTTCAGTCAGCTATCACCAGAAGTATTAGACTTTCAGAAAGAGCCATTTGCCCTGTCTTTCCCTATATGCAGCAGGGCATAAGGCTCCCTATATGCAGAGGGATGTCCTGTTATGGGCCAGGCTCTATGGACAATGACCAGACTCCATTTACCCTGAGACTCCATATCATGTAAGAAATGCTTCTCCCACGGGAAAGCCCCACCTCTGTACCCATTAATAGTTACCTATCATAACATACTTGGCAACACAAAATAGCAATTCTTATAAATGTAAAATTGTTCTCTTTGATTTCTATTTTTCTTGGGCAATGTACCTTGTCAGACATTGATTGTCTAGACGTTAATAACCATTCTCTCACGGGTACTGAACTAGGGTCATTTTGACACCCCACCCCCGCCTTCTACTTGCTTGCTGCTATGCCAACCTGGAAAGTCCCGTGGGAAATACAAATGTCCCCATTGTATTGTCTCCCTAACTGCCCAATTCAGCTTCTGTACCTGCTTGTTTGCAGCTACGTCAACCCAGATGTGGTTTTTGCCTTTAAATATCCTAAAATGCTCAGGCTCCGGGCTGTTCCTTGCAGAAGCAGTTATGGGTCTTGCAGGGAGTAGTCGCCTGCTGGCCGGCTAAATAAAGACTCTTCAATTTGTACAAAACTAGGACTTGGTGTGTTTCCTGAGTGACTTGCCCCACAACACTGCACACACCATGGCTGGAGAATAGCCTTATCACCAGAGCCTGGTAACAGGACTGCAGTGAACCAGAATAAACAAACTCTGAAGGGACCCTCAGCTTCCACTGGCTTCTGCACCCCCTTCTCTCTGTGGACTTCTAATCCTTCTCTCTGTATCTTTTGGTGACATCCCTAGAATTCACTATCCTGGTCCATTTGTCCTCATTCCTTCTCAAAATCATTACTCCTTGTCTAAGAACATTACATTTTGGTTTTCAGAGTTCACTATCCTGTGAAGATTTATTGTATACATACACAATTAATAAAGCCTCTGTACTTTTCTCTTGTTACTAAGCACACATGCTAACTGGGTTCCTGGATCCGGCCAAAAAGCCCACGTAAGACCTAAGTGAGGTACAGGAGCTCCCTCCATCCCCAGCCAGGGGACATTAGTAGTCATGGACCCCACAAGAGGGAGGAGGCAGGAAGGTCCTCTCTTTTTCGGGGGAGCCTGGCTCTCCAAACACCTTGACTGGACTTCTAATCCTTCTGGATTTTGAGAGAATCAATTTCTGTCCCTTTTAAGCCACCAATTTGTTCCAGCAGCCCCAGGAAACTAAGACCCCCAAGGATTCACAGGGATGATGTGGGGGCAGGGCCTTCACGAGCTCCTGTTAGCACATTTTATGTGTGTGTGTGTGTGTGTGTGTGTGTATGTGTGGTGCTGGGGATTGAACCCAGGGTCTTGTGCATGAGGCAAGTACTTTACCAACTGAGCTCTATCCCCAGCATGTCAGCCCGTTCTTGGTTGCACTTTGTAAAGTCAAGATAATGTCATCTAACTCAGAGGTGGATTCATAGATCATGGAGATTAAATGCCCACATAGTAGGTGCTTCAGAATTGACAACGGTTACTACTATGGCTTGCCTCCCCTGCCTATGTGCACTCAATGCCAAAGTTTTTCTTCTCTTTTCCTTCCTCCCTCCCTGCCTTACTTCTTTCCTTCCTTTCTTTTTGGCAGGGGATTGAACCCAGGGGTGTTCTACCACTGAGCTACATCCCTAGCGCTTTTTTTTTTTTTTTGAGACAAGATCTCACTAAGTTGTCCAGGCTGGGCTCTGACTTGAGAGCCTTCTGCTTCAGCCTCCTGAGTAGCAGGGATTAAGGTGTGCACCACCATGTCCCATGGAGCAAAGTTGTTCTAATGATCAGTTCCAGCTCGCTGGAGGTGGGCAGGGGCATAAGGTTCTAGAGGTTTTATCTTCTATAAGTGCATGAATAGCGGGGTAAATCTGTCTCTGTACCTCTGAGGGCAGAAGCCCTAAACCACAAACTGCCTTCTATGTTGCAGGCCAGCCCAGCTTGAGTCCATTGTCTTCAGAAGTGTTGGTCAGTTGGGTGCCTGTCATTGCTTGGTGGCTGGATTGGGAAGCTCCAGCCTCTAGGGATGGAGTGTGCCAGACTCCTTCCTATTCCTGAAACCTGTCAGGCATTCCCCTATCTCAGGACTTTTGCATGGGCTGCAAGGTGACTGGGAGATGGGGAGGGAGGCAGATATCCAATTCTTTGGCCTCTTTAGATTCTGCCAGGACCCTATAGGGCACAACTGTTGTCAGCAAGGTGTGGTTCCAGGTCTTAGAGCAAGATATTCTGTCACCAGTGCCTGGAGGTGAGGAGGGTGAGGACACCTCCCTCTTGGCCTTCTAGTCTCCAAGGGACACCCTGGCTTCTTTTATACATGAGGTGTTCTGGAGTGGGTAGCAACTGGGCCAGTGGCCCTTGGCCATGGGCCTGGAACAAAGGCCACTAGGCCACATTCTGAAGTGGAGACCTGTATCTACAGCCTCTCACGGGCTCTTCTGGAGCCAGGAATCCTGTTGGTGCTCACTAAAATGTTCCCTTGTTCTCATGAAAAATAGCTCCAAGAAGTGATAAATGTAGACTTCAGATGTTTTCCCAGCTACCCAGAAGTGAGGCTTGACCTTGAGTCTGTGGATATTTCTAGATTGTGTAATGCAATTCCACCTGGAATTTGTATAGTCATTTTTTCCTTTTCTTTTTGAAACCCTGTCACATCAACCCATTCAGTGCCAGCAGCTTTTCTGCAGGGTGGATCAGCCAAAGGCTTCTTTTCCTATTTTCTGGATGGTGAACTGAGGCCTCGTGAAGTAAAGGACTGGATGGAGACCACTCAGCAAGTCCAAAAAGCCTGGGAACCATGGAATAGTCCCTATAGACAGCCCCTGATCCCCAAGGAACCATGTCTCTTAGCGATGGATGGGGTCTAATTTTTGGATAATTCTTTGTCTCATCTAGGTAGTTGGTGCCTGGAATAAAAGTGTGAGCTCTAAACAGAGAGCCTGGCCGCCTGGAGACACCATATAGGGCTGCACCTTTGAGCTGCTCATTAGCATAACCACAGTTTGGTCCATAGCCCTCTGCTGCAGGGAACCTGGCAGCTTCCACAGTCTGATAGCTTGAGTCATGCAAATTGCTAGATTTGGTTTTAATTTATTTGCAGATGAATATCCTTCCCCAGAGGCAGGAGGAGGGGGGAGCACATAGTCTCTTTTTAATTATTTGGGGCATTATTTCCAAAGCCCTCTGAGCCGAGGCTGAGACTGAGGGTGATTTTGATTCTTCAGTGAATCCCTTCCCGACTGCTCTTTCTCAATAACCTGCCCAATAAATCGTCCAGGGCCCTGACTGAGCCCAACAGCCTCCTCCTGCCCACCAATGCACCTCTCTCCCCCTTTCTCTTATGGCCCTCTGACTCCAGCCTCAGCTAGCAGAGCTATGGTCAGCCCCACTGCACACAGTCCCAGGTGGGGCAGAGGACAGGGGCTGGCAGGCAGGCCCTGTCGAGTAGAAGCTTCCTGATTGCGCATGTCAGCCAGTGTGGAAGGTTAGGTCAGCCCATATCATTCCTCTGTTCAAGCCCCTTCAATGGCTCCCGCCTCACTCAGAGTAAGAGCTGTGGGCCTTATAATGGCCTACAGGGCCATCTCTTACACACACCGCTCTCTCCTTTCTTCACTTTGCTCCCAGGAACCGGCCTCCTTACTGTTTCTAGAACCTGCCAGATACTCGTCCATCTCAAGGCCCTTGCACTGGCTATGGCCCCTGCTCTGAAGGCACTTTACCAGAGACCTGCTTAGCTCACTCTTGCTTCCTGCCTCAAATGCCACCTCATCGAAACCCTCCTTGGTCATGCTGGTGCACCCCAACATGTCCCACTGTACCCCGAAGCATTTCCCTTGCAGAAGGACAGCTGCCTTGCAGGAAGAGTCTTCTATCTCCCCCTCCCCCAGCTGGGACAGCTCACAGCCACTGGCCGAGGGACACTGTTGCGGAGGTGTTGTGAGGTGGGTTCTGCTCTGTTGATTCTCGTCAGTGTGAGTAAGTTGGCATTCTAATGATGACTGATGTGAATATGTTTTGACAGCACTAACTCCATGTTGAGCTTGTAACACCAGCTGTAACTGAGCCAAATGGCAGGCCAATAGTCACCTGGACAACTGGCTGACTGATGGATTTGTTGACAACTGCCCGTCAATATGCAAATCGGATGGTTGGTGTCTGGGCTGTCCCTCCAAAACTGACATCAGGAAGCTGAGATAATGTACCTACTGGGACCATAAATAAATACAAGTGTCTTCAGCTTGCCATTTGACATACAGCTCACTGTGACTCCACTCTGGGAGTGTTCCCTCTGCAAAACCAATGGCCCCTGTCCCAGTGGATAGTTCTTTGAGTGTATCCGTGGCAGCTTGCTAGCATCCTGGACCCGTGTGAATGTCCCCTTGAAAGGACTGGTCCCCTGGACCCTTTGGACAAGTGGCATGGTGTCTGGTTCCTTCCTAGCACTCTACACTTGAGTGATTTTTTAAACCTCTTTTTGCCTATATTTTCATAAACTCCTTGTGCCTCATTCCTTTTTTCCATGCATCGCAATAAACCATTTCATTCAGAAGGTGTCTTTGCCTCCCTTGGCTTGTCATTTGATTAAATCAATAAAAGGGGCTTTCTCTTGGAGGAAACAACTCTCAAGGTGATATTGTCACCAAGTGTTGGGGACACACTAACACTAACCTGGCCAGTCCAGTGTGACAAAAGATCTCAAAGGAGACAGAGTGTGTACAATCCTTTCCCAGAACTGAGACTACATCCCTGCTCTGCCGGGCTTCCCTTTCTCCCTTCCTCTCCTGGGAGATCTTTCTCAATCCATCACATGTCCATACCTTCATCTTAGGCTCTGCTTCTAGCAACCGAATAGAAGACTCACACTATTTAAAATTGCAAATCTTAAATAAGTGCATGCCTATAACCCCAGCCACTGGGGAGGCTGAGGCAGGAGGATCCCAAGTTCAAAGCCAGCCTCAGCAACTTAGTGAGGTCCTAAGCAACTCAGTGAGTCTGTTGGTCTATTTCTCCCAACATAGAAGGAAATGTCCTACTCAGAAGGTAGGAGTTCCATCTGTTTTGTTCCCTCTTTTCATTCAAATAGTAGGTACTCAACCAAGTAGCTGTTTTGTAATAGTGGCTTCTCCTTTGGGAGTTGTCCTTGACAGGGTTACTTTTGCCTCCCCTCCTTTTGTCCAGTATTGTAAATTCTAAAGAAAAGCTGCACCTAAATTATGGCCATGTTAATTGCTCAAAAACTTCATTTAGATCTACAGAATCTAGAACATCTGGTGACCTTCGGATAACACCAGAATGTGTAACACCCCTCCTTATTCTTCAATTCTGTGTATCAATGAACAGGAAGCATATAAATTGCCAGGAGGTTTAATTTGTGTAAAATAAATGTGTTTGTAGCTAACTTCCGGAGGTCAAGGCTAATTGTGATGTTCTGACCAGACAAGAGAAAAAAAAGAGAGTCCCATGCCCTGGATGAGGGAGACCTTGCTCAGCGCCCAGGCTTCCTGCCCGTCTTCCACTGCATCCTCCTTCCCTCCCTATAAAATCTCTGTTATGTACCTGGATTACCTAAGATGGGGGGCTCTGAGGACTCCCCAATCTTCTTAGGATGGGGGCCCTTGAATAAAACTGATTTCTTTCCCACCAACTCTTCGACAAGAGTATTGGCTTCTGAGTGGTGAGCAGACAGACCTGGGTCCACTAAGAGTTTTGAGAGTGAACACACTGAGAAAGCACGGTTAAGCTGTGGGTGTACCGTCGGCCATGGGCTGGGCTCAGGCTGCAGGCTGGTAGGAGAGGGACTGGGGTGAGGGACCAGCTATGGGAGGAGGAACAGAAAGGAAGTATCGCCTGAGGCAGCCGTGAAAGCGAGTTCTCAGGGCGAGATTGCCTTCTGGGAACCACTGTGGCTCCTAGAGAGCAGAGGCACTGCAGAGCTATGCTGTGCCTTCAAACTCTCTCAGCCAAAGTCCTCCGCGCCGAAACCACACAGGACAGTTTTCTGCAAGGTCACATCTTCTCACCATGGCAGTGGGGAGTTCTCAGAAGTGGGAGGGAATTTTCCTAGAAGGAAAACAAACCCTTCTGCTAACAGCACCTCGGCCCCCCCCTGATTGCTTCCTTGGATCCCAGGAATGAGAGCTGCCCCTCACTGAGAAGCCCCCACCTGCCAGGGTCAGGCCACACATTTCCCTGAAGTCTCTCATTTAATCTGCACACAACTCAAGGGAGTACTCCTCTGGTTGCCAGCTTAGATACAGAAACTGGAAGCTCAACCTTAATGCCTGCGAAACAGGGCCTGGGGTCACCCAGCATTGTCTATCTGTCAATGGAGACATCCAGACTCTGGGAGCTGCCCTTTTGTCCCTCCTCCCTGGTGTGCACAGCACTATCTGGCTACATAGCACATGGGCCATGTGCCCTCACCCATCTACCTATCCTGCCTGGCAGCCAGGCACAGTGAGGCCGGAAACCCATCTTAGCCCTTTCTTACTGTGTGGTCCTAGGCAAGTTCTGTAACCTCTCTGAGCCTCAGCTCACACATCTGTAAAGTGGAGGTGAATTTAATCACTTTACAATTATTTATCGAATACCTAGTATGTGCCAGGATCAGTATTGAATACTGGCAGTCTCTGCCCTCGTGAAGGGTTGTTAAATCATCGCCAGCACAGAGAACACAGCACCGAACCCTCTGGGCTGTGAATCACATGGCTTCCAGGAAGGTCGTGAGCCCATCTCTGCAGAGGGACTCCGACACCTACTTTCTGACTGAGTACAGATTCCTTATTTTCTAGCTTCCTGGCCATTTGGTTTCCTTGGGAAGTGGAGGTAAGGAGAGTACCCAGGTCTTGCTGACCGCAGCATGGCAATGATGGCCCACCTTCTTCTCCTTCCAGGAGCAGGAAATGAGAGCAAGGACTTCTTCCTTGGGTGAGAGTGGCAGAGATGGAGAGTGGAGAGGCCTGAAGTCCTCAGAGGAAATCCCAGGGCAACACCTTCCTCTCACCATGGATCCAAGGAAGTGCGTGTGGACTCACCTGGGCTACTCAGGAGGTTCAACCAGGTTTCCTTGCTGCTGGCCAAGGCTTCGATGCACATGGTTACCACCTGCTGTAAGCCCTCTGATTGCTCCTTCTCTGAGCCTCCGTCTTTCATCCATGGATTGGGCAGTTGACTCTGTGACCTTCAAGATCCTGTCTGTGCTGGGCTCTTTTCTCCTGGGCAGAGGGTGGGCTCCTTCCTCCCACCTTTCCATTCCCGCATTATGGCAGGAGGAGGGCTCTGTGTGGCTGTCTGAAAACCATGGCTGGGCTCTGTAATGGGCTTCCGGAAGTGCTCTGCCTTTGCACCGCTTTGGAAAGCTTTCTAGCTCTGTGGTTCTGAAGCCAAAACAAGCAGTTCTGCATTTTGAGGTTTAAAACGGGCACTCTATCTCCAGGGGAGAGGTGGAGATGCTATTTTGCTGGCTGAAAGATTTGAAAGCTGACATCTTCTTCAGATCCAGAAGTTGTCATTATCAAGAAGAAACGCATTGCTTTCTTTCAATGCCTCAGGTACCCAGTCCCCAGCCTAACAACAGTAGGAAATGCATTTCTTGCTTATTATAGGAGGTGTGCTCGCTCCGTCTACAGCCCTGTGGCAGATCCAGTGTCTAGCCTCTCCAGCAGGATGGGCAGCTTCTGTCACCACGAGTTACTTCCAGAGGAATCACTGGGGGGAACACCCCACCAGCCCTTCACACAGCCAAACCCCCTGGCGGCCACCTCTACCCAAAAGTCTTCCTTGTTCTCATGAACGCACCCCTCCTCCTTCCTCCAGAGCCACAGAGAGGCACCTCACCCTCCTTTCTTTCCGGCCCTCCCCTGTCCCTCTTAACACGTGCCAGGGGTCCTGGCAGGTGAGGCACCATTTATTCTAACCCATGCATTCCTCCAGCCCTCCTCCACTGGGCCACCTCCGCCAGTGCACAGCCTTTGCAGATGTGCCTGGCACTACTGCCACCTCCCCCTGCCTTTGACCACAGCAGTAGCAGTTCCCCTGCCAGGACTCACCCCTTCCCCAGCCCTCAACAACCTGCTATGCCTGTGACCTGCCGGCCCCTACCCAAGGCCACATTAGCCTCTTGGGGACCCTCACTAACTCTCCCAGCGGCCTGGCTCCTTTTCCTCCCTGCTGGTGCCAGCTCTGGTTGTGCAGAGGTGATAAGGTAGAGGTGACCAGCCATACCCACATGACACCATCATCCCCTAGGGTCCAGGTCTTCAGGCCTGAGGGAAGCCCAGCAGTGATCTCCTCTAGACCAGAATCTCAGTGCACGCTGGGCTGCCGGACCTCTCTTCTCACCCTGCTGGGAGCCCACTCAGCCTCTGCTTGTACAGCCCACAGTGATGGGCTCCCTGCCTCCCTCCCTCATGCACACACACCCTCCGGCTTCCCTCGCCAGCCTCTCCAGGCAGCCTCTGGCACAACGCAGAGCTGTCTTTCCTTGTGTTCAGCCCTTATCACCTGCCCATGGAGCACCCTTGGCTCCGGGGCCTTCTCCTGCCCCCCAGATGTCTCCACACTGGTTATGGATGGCTCCATCTTCTAGAAGAGCAAGCCCACATCCCGTCCTGGCCTCTGCCACTCACCAGGGAGTGTGTGGGGGGGTGGTTCTGGGAGCATCCTCACTGTCCTTGCTCAGACCCTGTGATAGTGCATATGCTCTGGCCCTTTCTGTTCCACTGAGTTGGAGCTCAGGACAGGCCAATGGAGGGGAGGTTCAGCACATCATGGAGAGCCTTCACTCAGGTGCCTGAAGACAAGGTTCCATCCCATCCTCACCAGGTGCTTGATGTCCTCAGAAGACTCTGAAAGCCCAAATCTAGAAAACTGAATGAGCCTTGGACACTCCTATCTTCTAGTATTTTCCAGGGTGCTCAACTTCAATGAACCTATGAAGGTGGGACTGTGCGTTGAACCTCTGGGTTGGATTCTTAGATTCTCTCCATTTGGATTCCAGCTCAGTGGTGCAGAGTTCGCTTTTACTCTGGTTTCGGGTAGGTGATGCAGGGGGCAGGTGCTTAGCTCTAGCTCCCAGGCACCATGTACGACCTAAGAGAGGTCATGAGCCTCTGCAAGGCTGTCTGGGACAAAGACAGACACTGAGGCAGGAGCCTCCAGCTGCCTGTGTTGTGCTGACCCCCACAGGACACCCACCCACTGGGCCACCCAGTCCACCTGATGCCACTGGGTTCGGCCCTACTCAGACCTCAGCTTCCTCTCCTGCCCGCACCCCAAGCACTCTGTGCCCTGCTGGTCCTCACCCTCCTCAGGCTCTGTGCTCTCTGCCTGCCTCCAGAGGGCCTCTGGGCACCCCCAGACTCCCCCAGGGCTCCTCATCCCTCTTGACCATTGTGGGGCTCCCCAAGCTCTGCTTTCCTCTTGGGGTATCTCCCCATCCCCCACTCTCTTCCTTGGGGCTCCTCAGCCCTGGCTGAACCTCCTCAGTGGTCCTGCAGACCCACTGGCCTCCT